CAGAACATTGTCTGTGTTTCAGAACAGTTTATAAGCAAACAGTATTATTCAAGACTGTCTAAAAATTTTCATTCTTTTTGTAACGTCGAGACTAGAATGCTGTCTGAGAAGAGTTTTCTGAGAAGCGCTCAGGCTAATTAGACTTATACATTTTTGAAACCGTACCAAAAAGTAGCTTCTTTTGCTCTTCATCTTCAATTTCCACAAAATTCCGACACTAAAATATGCTTTTATTCCAGTCAAAGCACCTAAAGGCTGATTTTCACTAACTATGCACAAAACTACAATTACCTGTTCTAAAGTGTTAGCCCGCTGCGATAGAAGGCAAAAAGATTAGTTGTTTCTGAAAACTGTCGTCATAAAACGTCCAAATAATGGTACATAGCATAGAAAACGAAAAAAAAAAACACTAAAAATTTTTTGTTTATAGAATTTGAAAAAGCAATCATTTTTAGCCATCTATTCTTTTCAGAAGAGAAACTCTTAATTGGCGATCATAAAATCAAAAAGAAAAACTCAAAAAGAAATAAATGTCATTCTTTTTCAGCTGTTCTTTATCACATTCTTTACGGAAAGCCATCTATTTTCCATCAAATTAATTAATTTTCACTTCTCATTAATCTTAGCTTCTTACCATAAAATATCAAAACTACGCGACGCTAATCTTTGCTTTACACAATAAATTTTCTGTTTTGAACCACCATTCCACACGATCTGTTAGTTGCTCACCAGAATAGGCAACAGATGAATGGACTGCATAATACGACTTCCGCGAAACGTCCATCGCACGCTTCAGATACGGAGAATAAGCAAAATTTAATTTTGCAAATAGGACCCGTATCCAATACCAGTAATAAAAAACGCTTATTCTTCAGGAACCATACAACATGATACTCTACCGAATTCATAATTTACTTAGCCGTATTGAATCGATACAAAAAAAAGAAAAAAAAACAGTTTTATTTTATACAACATTTTAAAAAGTACATATTATTAGCAATCTGTAAAACATC